GCTTATCTCTTTGTTTATTTTGGGCTTGCAGCCAACAAGAGTCTGGACTCATTAAAAAACATTCTCTTTTACGTTTGTTTTGGCTTTCGTTCCTGGACGGAGGAGCGGGGTCAGAACACAATGCTATTAACCTGGAAGAGTATAATTCTAGGGTAGAAGAAATATTTGGCACCTTTGCTCTACCAGGAAAATATAAGCAAAGTCCTTGCCTGCCCCCCCCAAAAGAAATTCTGATCTATCATGGCAGTCAATCCATGTTGACAAATCTGAGTTACTCAAAATAATATCCTAACTTGATAAACAGTAGTTTCCACAGTTCTTAAAAATAAAATTGTAAAAGATGACATAAACCAATAATAATTGACATAGGCTGAAACTGAGATCAGCCCTTTGCTGGATTTTGGCCATAATATCCCAAGATCATTCTGTGCCCCCTTGTTTCTTGAGAAATATACAGCTATGATTAAATGATGAAATAAGAAAGGATACAGGAGACTTAGGAAGAATCCCACCTACAGAAGCTCTTTTTTTCCGGCGGATGGAAATTTTTAGTAAGATTAAAGTCCATCCAAATCAAGAGTTTTCAACAGAAGTCCTTGCAAACTCACAACAGTATCAAAGTCTGGCTATAATATACATCTGGATAAATGGCAAGAATTATGAGAAAGGAATAGGAAAATAACATTGTCAATATCGTGTAAAGAAAACTTACATAAAATGTTTTATAGGTGGCATCTTCCACCTGCTAGAGTAGCTAAAATGTTTAGAAATTTAGCACCAAATTGTTGGAAAAGTTATCATAAATTAGGCATGTACTACCATATGTGGTGGTCATGCCAAAAAAATAAAAGAATATTGGCAGAAAATTCAAAGGTGGCTGATAGAAATAACCGAAGAGGAAATAGTATTCACACCCGAACTATTTCTTTTGGGAATCATAAACAATAAATATAACAAGGGTGTAATTTACTTAACAAAACATATTATTACGGCAGTAAGAATGGTCTTTGCCCCAAACTGGAAAAACAGGGAAATTCCTCAAGAAGGGGAAATAATTAGGAAAATTCTGACTTATGCTGAAATGGATAAATTGACATGGGAATTGAAGAATAAAGACAAGTCAGAATATTATAGGATCTGGCACAAATTTTATCGATGGTTGGGATAAAAAAGGAAAGATCCAAAATAAACAATGACTAAGATTTATAGAATGGAGATTAGAATTATGTATGAAACTACGATAGTGAAAATGTATAAGATAAGAACAAAGCAATATGATTGGAAATATGATATTTTTATATTTGTAAATATGGAATAGATCAAAGGTTAAAAAGCATGGTGGTTATAATGTATAACTTTATATCTTAGTATGTATGGCATTGATCTTGCCAAAATAGTTACACTGTGTCCAATGTTTTAATTTGTGTTCAATAAAAAACTTTTTATTTAAAAAAAAAACAGTATCAAAGTTCTTCTTTTGAGTAGCAGGACAGCCATAATTTGAATTCTAATTAATCAATTTTAGACATTGTACTATTCACTATGGAAAACAATGCTTGAATCATGCTTAAGAAAGAAAGAAAAAACTCAAGGAGAATGCTAACCAACATCCTTTGAACTTACCTATAAAGGTTTTCCAAGATCTAGGATCTTCACTCTGCCTCCAGCCATAGGGCCACCCCAAAACCACAGTATTGTGCTTCATGCCACCCAATCCACAGGACTGTATCAAGTGGGAAATGCCATCACGGACTTTATTAGCCACAACAACTTGGCAAAATCCTTTGACCTTCTCAATTTCAATCATATTCTTGATGGCCTGGAAGACAAGCAAGGAGATCCAGGGGCCATCATTATGGGAAGCTGGCCAGAAGACCATTGAAAACACCAAGATCTGTCCCTTTTACAGATGATCAATCAAACTGCATTTTAGAAATACCTGTTGACATCCACAAGATCACTGGTGCAGAGATTTTAAACCAATGTATACTTAAAGAAGGCTATTTATTTAATCACAATAGGGTGAGAAGAAACTAAATTGAATGCACAAAGACCCCCTCAATGAAGTGAATTGTACTCATGCTATTAAAATGTAGAACCTAGAATAATAGGGTTGGAAGAGATCTTGGAGGTCTTCTTGTCCAATCCCCTGCTCAAGTAGGAGACCCTATACCATTCCAGACAAATGACTGCCCAGTCTCTTCTTCAAAACCTCCAGTAATGGAGCAACCAAACTTCTGGAAGTATGCTGTTCCACCGATTAATTATTCTCACTGTCAGGAAATTTCTCCTTAATTCTAGGTCTTCCACCCATTACTTCTTATCCTGCTCAGAGGTCTTTTGGAGAATAAGTTGACCTCTATAACAGCTCCTCAATTACTGGAAGACTGCTATCATATCACCCCTAGTCCTTTTCTTCGTTAAACTCAACATATTTAGTTCCCTCAATCATTCATTGCATGGTTTAGCCTCCAATCCTCTAATCATCTTTGTTGCTCTTCACTGAATTCTTTCTAGGGTCTCAACATCATTTTTTTGTCTCATGGTGATCAGAACAGTATTCCAAGTGTGGTAGCAGAATCAATTAATAGAAGCTTGTTCCTGTTTGCCCTCTGAAATTATACCACGAATACTGTACCTGTGAGAGTTCCTAGATGAGCTTAAAATACTCCACTTAGGGTACTAATAAATCTGGCTGCAGTAGCTTTGACAGTTCATTTCTGACAAATAAAAGCAATATATCCCCCACAATTAATTAGTTAAGATGTATCCAACCTAAAGTAATGTTTAAAACAAAAATAAACATGTTATTTAACCCATGACATCTTCCTTTCACCGCAGCAACACAAAATTTAGCTGCTGCCCACATAATGAATAGTTTGAAATGCTGAAAGAGAAGTTCATATAACATTTATGAGGGTGGTTGGTTGTTCTGCCATTGAGTTTTCAAGAGTTTTGCTTTGGGGTCTGTCTGCCTGCCTGCCTGCCTGCCTGCCTGCCTGCCTGCCTGCCTGCCTGCCTGCCTGCCTGTTTTTGAAGTCTTGTAAACATTTTTTACAATGTTTAGTAATTTTGGGCTTGGACAACCTGGAACTACGCCGCCTATGGTCTGATCAAAGCATAGTACACAAAATTGTTTGCTACAATGTCCTACCTGTCAATGACTACTTCAGCTTCAACCTCAATAGTACATGGGCAAACAATCAATACAAACTCAAAGTAAACTGCTCCAAACTTGATTGCAGAAAATACGACTACAGCAACAGAATGGTCAATGCCCTGAAATACTCGACTCCGTTGTTGCATCCTCAAACCCCCATATCTTTAACCTTAAACTGTTTGCCGTGGACCTCACCCCATTCCTAAGAGGTCCGTAAAGGAGGTGTGCATAAGCGCACCAGGGTCCCTGTCCTACTGTCCCCATTTATTCTTACCCATTTTGTGTGTCCATGTCCATGTTTATACTTATACCTGTTATCTCATACATGTTTGACAAACTAAATTAATTAATTAATTTAAAAAAAATTGGTCCAAGATCCCAGAAGATAGTATCCTTCACACCTGGTTTCGCCATGCCTCACCTGTTCAGCCGCCTGAGCTTCTCCATAGCTTTCCAGAAAGTTGCCTTGTATGGCAGTCCCTACAATGGTCAACCCCTTCCCGGCTTTGAGTTGTGAGGCGAATGTCAAGAGTCTGGGGTATTTCACATGCAAATCCTCATCCAGCTTCAGCAACACCAACAGTTGGGGTCTAAGAAGGAAGACAAGGAAGCAGATTTTGAGAGACAGAGGTCATGCCCTCCAACAACAAACCAGAATAAATTAAGCCGCTCTGCAGAGGACTGGCCCTTTGGGCTGTTCCCAAGAGACTTTGAGACATTTCAATGTCCGTCCGTCCCCCCCGCCCCGCCGCCCCGGCTCATTTTGGCTCATTGCAATTTGTTTCACGCAGAAGGTTTGGTCACAGCCAAATCCAATGCACAGAGGGCACTGGTTTGATTTTTAAGTACCCTGAGACACCACGAAAGGCATCATATTAGTGCTGCAAATATTCTGTGATTCAGGCAATCCCCTTCCCATACTTATATTCTTATATTCTGTCAGAGCATTTGCAGTGTGGCTATTATGACACAACGCAGGAACAAAACACAGCACACAGAGACTTAAGACATTTAACAGTGGTCTATATACAACATATATCAGGGGTCAGCAACCTTAAACACTCAAAGAGCCACAAAAGTCCTAATTGGAAGCTCCCCATTCAATTCTGGAGCCAACCGGAAGTTTGGCTGCCCCACCATAGAGTCTCCTCCTAGTATGGCGTCCTTTTTCCTCTACCTGTCCTAGTCGAAAGCCCTATCAATTGCAGAGCCGAACGGCAAAAGGGAGCCGCAGCAGATGGATGAAAGATCCACATGCGACTCCGGAGCCACAGGTTCCTGACCCCTGACATTATACAGATATATACATGGTAGCAAATAACTGACAAGTAATCAGTCTTCTTCTTAACCTTACATGGAGAACTTAGCAATGGATTCAGGACACAAGGAGAGAGATACACTAAGAGAGAGAAATACGTCCTCTCTTGGCTGCTTTATATAAACACCTCTTAAAGTGGTAAAGACTTTTGTGGACCCCTTCATAGTCTTAAAGTGGCTATACCAATGCTGGTTCTTCTTCATTGCATCAGCCTTGCCTTTCAGAAGCTTTACAGTTGCATCACCTTTTCATTGGCTGGTCAGCTTTAAATCATCATTACCCTGGCAACCTCAAAGTTTAGCAACTGCAGAAAAAGCAGTCCTCAAACAGAGATTGACTATCTAATTTTGAATCACAGAGAAGTGGTCATGAAGTCAGGAATGCACTGACTTCCCCATGGGGGGGGGGGAACTACACAACATTTACAATAAATTGAAAGAACCCACCGCCAGTTCTTGGTATGGGGAGGACCTTCTTCCAATCTCAGCAAAGCATACCGGGCAGCGCTTAGAGAGAGGCCCCGAATCCCATCACCCCATTCCTTCTCTGCCCTAGTAAAAAAAGAGAGCGTCAGAATGGTTGGAGAAGAGCAGGCAGAGCTGGGGGGGGGGGCGGCATTAAATGTGTCATCAGCTTAGAGTCATTACATTGCCACAAACAGTCAAAGCCCTCCTGAATTCCATTGACCTTATCCGCAGCCAATTTAGCACTCCACTTTAGTTGACCAGATTCTTGTGTTTAGGCTGGAATAAATCTATGTTGCAACATAAGATTATTCCGATCCTTTGCTCCTGTCAATTCAGGGCACTATTCTTTTTCATCGATTCAATACAGGTGATAGTCCTCAACTCATAACAGATCACTTAGTGACTATTCAAAATTCTGAACTACCTACCTTGGGAGTTCTTATGTCCCAGAGTGCTAGCTCCCCCTCTCCCTATAGACACACTATTTCCAGGGAAGCACCAATGAAAACAAATGTCTTCTTCACACCCCCACCAATGTTGACAGGGCCAGCTACTTTATATAAACAAGAAGCAAACTTCACACTTTCATTGAAAATTTACTTACCCTTGATACTCAATGTACTTGTAGATCATGCCAGCAATGAGCATGGCCACTAAAGCGTAATACCAGGAGGAGATGAACATCAGGGCAAGGCAGATGCTCATCCCTAAGAAGGACAGGGCCCTAAGAAAATAAAACTCAAATTGTTAATAGGTCTGCGAGGGTGAACCTGTGGCACACGGAGCTATATTTGCCGACATGCGAGCCATCAGCTCCAGCACATATGTGTGCGCCGGCCAGCTGCTTTTTGGCCTACTGTTGGGCCAGGGGAGGCTTTGGGAAAGCCTCTGGAGCCTAGAAGGGTGAAAAACAGGCCCAACAGGCCAACCGGAAGTTAGGAAACAATTCGTTTCCAGCTTCTGGAGGGCCTCCAGGTGGCCAGGGAAGGCAGTTTTCACCCTCGCCAGGCTTCAGGAAAGCCTCCGGAGCCTGGGGAAGGCAAAAACTCTCCCTCCCTGTGTTTGTGGGGGGTATGTGCACATGCGTGAGTTGGTTATGCATGTATGTGCAGGGGAAATCGGGCACGCATGCGCAGGTGGGTGGGGCTCATTGCATTGTGGGTATGGGCACCCGTGCACAATTTTGGCATACCTTTTAGAAAAAGGTTTGCCATCACTGTAATAGGTTATTAGAGCTGGATCCAAACATACAAGTATTTCTCAGCTGGAAGGATGAAAAGGTTCCAGAGAACCTGTGTTGGTGGCAATGCAAGTTTCTGCAGTCTCTGTAACAGTTTATTTAGGTATTCAGGTTGCAGATATTATCCATATGACACAATAAAGTATGAAACAAGGCCAGAGAAGCAAAATAGGCTAAGGCAGGGGTCACCAACCTTTCCGAGCTCAGGGACCTTAAATTCATACGTTTAAATCCCACGGACCACTAATATGATCTGCCTAATGGGTGGGCGTGGTAAGGTGGTCATGTGACTGGGTGGGCATGGCCAGCTCGATGTCACTCACGTCGAGGGGCACCTTGCCAGCCTCTACTCACCCCTCCCCACCTGCCTGCCCGGGCTCCTTAGGGCCCCAATAGGAAGCAGTTGTTGGAGCTAAGCAGCCACCATGAGAAAGAGCTGGCAAAACACCTCAGTTCAAATGGGATCTGACCGAGGAGGAGGCTCAGCAGAAGCACTCACTGAGGACTACGAGCATGGGCTTTCCAAGCAGAGGAAAGACCTGTAGGAATGCAAGGCCAGGTATTGGCGCCTGGAGGCTCAGCGGGCTGAGATGGTCAGCCAGTTCCAGGCCATGATGCAGTCCCACTGGAACAAGGCCCTTCAGCTTTTCACCACCAGCAGCAGTTCTCTCCAGCCTTCGCCCAAAGCCCCTCACCAGGAGGCTGAAGCAGACCCCAAGTCGGAATTTCTGCCCTCCTCCAACCCGCAGAAAAAGACCAAGAAGGAGGAGACTCGCTGCAGCAACACAAACATTCATTGCACGTATCCGGCCCAGGGGCTGTAGTTTGCGGACCCCAGATTTAGTACAATATAAAAAAAATGCAAATACATTTTCTGTGCACCACCAAAATTTTCTCGTGGGCCACCAGTGGTCCATGGACCACCAGTTGGTGACTGCTGGGCTAGGAGACATTTTCCAAGCACTTCTGGTTTCACAAATTCCCAAGTGTTTTGGGCTTTTGACTCATAACATCTCATGATCATGAAGACCATTTTAGAAGCAACTTTCCTCCTAGTTCATTTACTAAAAAAAAAATTCTTACCAGTGGTAATACTTAAATCTGGGACGCCAGTTTGGAGTTCTTAAGAGAGTCTGTACTGCGCAGGCCAGGTTGACAAACAGGTAACACATTAGGAAAAACCTAATTTGGGAATGGCAAAGAGGAAGGAAGAGGAGAGGAGATCAGTGCATGAAAGTTGGCAGTTGCCCATTTCTTCATTCTGAATTTCATTTGAACACCTCTTTGCTTTCTGGGGCACCTTATTGCAGCAACTCCTGCTATGCACTATTTGCAGCCAGGATTTCTGCAGGGGATAGTCAGAAATGCCAAAGGTGGCAATAACAGTGTGATGAAAGCTCCATTCATTTTCCATGGGTGATGCACTTAAAAAACCTAATGAAGTCTCAACCACATCACTACGACTCATCTTGACTTTTGTTAACATACCCTGCTGATGTTCCTGACTTGCCGTGAAAATGCAGGAAAGGAAAACAACAGAAGAATGAAAAAGTCTTCTGAGTTACCAAATATTAGATTTGTTCGAAGACTGTCACACAGCAATATGAGCAATAACTACATGAGAAATAACTGCAGTAATAGATTCCTCAGGTTTAACAGTGATGCATCAGAATCAACGCTAGGTGGCAGTCGAAAATGGTCTTCTGCCATAGGGCCCCAATAGAATAAAAACACACAATCCACTTCTTATTTTGATTGCAACATTTTGTGGTACTTTTAAAGTGTATCCCAGGAAACACTCAGAAACCTACTGAGAATGACCCTAGTTGTTTCTTCAATATTACTGATGTTCCTTTGCAATCCACTAGACAAAATGACTCAGAACAGCTTATGTGCCAAAGATATGAAGTCATATTTGTGTTTAATAAAGCCAAATCTAGTAATAAGGTCTGAAATCTCACAAGGCTGCCACATCTCAGGAACATAAGAGTTCTGGCATAAGCTGTCAAGAGATTTTGTGTGGGAAGGCTGACATCTAATGAAATGTTGGCCTTCACTCAAGTTCTGTCATTTTTAAATTCCAGTTTTTATTTTTGAAGCTGCTTCAAAAAGTTTCTTAGTGTTTATATCAAGTTTCTTCAGCTTAGATTCCTCCAGATGAATCAGTTCAAGACTTACAATTCCTTCTCCATAGGGCCAGAAATGATAAAGAATGAGCAATCTTCTAGATGTCTATGGAGATGTTGAAGTCATGGTTGTCCCAAATATGCTTTTCTGAAAGTCACTGGATTTACTTGCTTTTTCTTAAAGGTGAAGGTAAAGGTTCCCCTCGCACATATGTGCTAGTTATTCCCGACTCTAGGGGGCAGTGCTCATCTCCATTTCAAAGCCAAAGAGCCAGCCCTGTCCAAAGACATCTCCGTGGTCATATGGCCAGCATGACTAAACTCTGAAGGTGCACGGAATGCTGTTACCTTCCCACCAAAGGTGATTCCTATTTTTTTACTTGCATTTTTACATGCTTTCAAACTGCTAGGTTGGCAGAAGCTGGGACAAGTAATGGGAGCTCACTCCTTTTACGCAGCATTAGGGATTCAAACTGCTGAACTGCCGACCTTTTGATCGACAAGCTCAGCATCTTAGCCACTGGGACACCTTGTTTTTTTCTTATTCAAGGAAAAAAACCAAGAAAGCCCAATTGTCTTTAGAAAAGCACCTTGGGATCAATCCTCTAGGTATCTTCTAGAAGTTGGGAACTCAAACTCTCACCAATGATCTGGTTGCGTATTCTCATCTTTAATTCCCATCATATTCCAAAACTTCTCCAAGAGTGAAAGAATAGAGAGGCTATTTCAACCTCTTCCATCTCCACTCATCGGAGATCATAATCAAAACTTTTGATGACCACTCATCAAAACTTTCAAAATTTTCAACTCGGCTCAAAGGAAGAGACTTACAAAGCTGGACTATGCATGGTGTGCTTGGTCAGAGGCCAAAAGCCCCCCTTGTTTCTAAAAACCAACATCTTGCAAACTTACATAGAAAGAATTGGGGCCACCATGTCAAGGGAGGCAATTAGAATGCCCAGCTCGGCAATCAGGGCTGTGAGCAGAAGAGCCCAGGTTGGTTCTCCATTTGCCTTTCCGTGGCCAAACACCTGTTTTAAAAAAAAGTGGGGGGAGGAGGAGGAGAGAGAAACAGAGTCTGAAGAACAAAACTATTTTGTATGCCATCCTTTCATGATGAGTCACTTGAGCACCGTTCATAAGGAACTGGTTGGGTTCATCTCCTGTTTGGTCAAAACAGTGGCTTCCTCCTCACTTCTGAGAGAAACATCTGTTTTTCTCTAGTCTTCATTTGGTACCGTAGGGTGATGAGAATTAGTTTCATACTCAGGAGTACGACAACTTCCCTTGGCTTCAGTTCCAGAAGTTATTGTCTTGCGGTCTTTAGCTCAGCCTCAGTGAGAACTTAGTCTAGCAAAGCCACTTAAATCCAGCATATGGTGCTGATGTTTTGACAGAAAAATTGATCCAAATGACAGAGAAACAGCTTCTGATTGCAAGAGATCAGCATCTGTCTCCATTCACACAATGACTTCCAACACCAGACTCAGAGGTGGTATTCAGCAGGTTCTGACCAGTTCTGGAGAACTGGTAGCAGAAATTTTAAGTAGTTCGGCGAACCAGTAAATACTACCTCTGGCTGGCCACACCCCCATATATTCTCTGCCTCCCGAGTCCCAGCTGATCGGGAGGGAACAGGCATTTTGCAGTAACCTTCCCCTGAAGTGGGGAGGGAACAGAGATTTTACAGTATCCTTCCCCTGCCACGCCCACCAAGCCAGGCCAGGACCACAGAACCGGTAGTAAACTATTTTGAATCCCACCACTGACTGGACTATAATATATTTTTTCTCTTTCCCAGCCAGTTTAAGTATATCTGGGATTCAGGACAAGTACTGGAAATTAAGTTCAGAACAAAAGCTGTTGTAAGTCATAAAGTTATAAACTGTAGAGAAACTATAACAGTTTCATGGAGATTGACGTTGAAGTGCCTTCAAGTCAGAACTGTCCCAAAGGTATTTTTTCAGGAGGCAACTGGACTTTCTTTTTTTTTTCTTTTGAAGACATTTCGCTTCTCACCCAACACGCTTCTTCATAGTGGGAAATGGAAGGATTGATACTCCTTGCAGAAAGCTGATCATTTGCATCCTTTCAGAGGATCATTGAAGCACTTGGGGGTTTGTCTGTGTCCTTAGGGTCACCTGAGTGGTGCAAATGGTTCCTGTAGTCTGCAATTTTTTCCTCCGAAAATCAATTCCTGCTCCCACACCATTCCAAGGGTCTTCATCCCAAATTGTATAGCTAAAAGCACCTTTGGGACAACCATGACCTGGATGACTGAGAATCTCTACA